TCTTTGGTAGAGAAGATCTTCCAGGCTAAGACACACGTCTCACACTTCTGGCATACAGGGATGGAATCGGTTCCCTTCTCACAATGAAAATAGGGGGCATTCTTGAGCGTTGATTCCAGGTTTTCCATGATCCTGAGATAACCAGCTCATTTTAGCCCTGCCCACTTGCAGCGGCAACACCACCGAACACTAGAGGAGCAGGAGAAATGAATAAATACCCCAGTTGTGCCTTTTCAATCACAGACGTCTCCCAGAGCAAAAGTAAATGGCTGCCATGGATGGAAAGCGTCTCTCAGAAACTGCCGGTAGAAGTCTGGCTTTTTGTACAGACCTCCTTGGAAACATGGCTTTACCGTAAATCTCCTAAACCTGGTGCTGCTTTATGTGGAGGCAGTTGCTGTATATTCTGAAAGAGCTGGTCATCTCATTTCTAGGACAACAAGAATACTGTTAGCCAAATTTAAGTAATATGTGGACTATTACTGGTATTGTGCTTTAATTACTGTTATATATGGCTTCTGAATATTCATGAATATAAAATAAGATGCAAACTTCTTATGTTTATATCTGTTCAGTTACAAGGTGGCTATCCCAATGATACTAAATATGTTTATATTCATTTTCTTAAGTCATCATCAAAGTAAAACCAGAAATGTTTAATATAAATTTAAGTTATTTAACTGCTTCAGAATACTAACCAGAAATCTCACCATTGTCAAAGTGCCCAGGCAAAACATATTGGGCAGCTGACAGAAAGAGTTTCAAAGTCATGCTGAGATAATTCTCCTATTTCAGGCAAGGCTAGGTTCAAACATTGACTCTGGTAATTAGGAGCTATATGGTCTTAGCAAGCAACCTGTCCTCTCTGAGCCTCAGTGTCTCCATCATAGTTATGAGGATGGAGAAGATAAAGGCGGGTAATAAAAATGATAACTACCTGCTAGGATTGCATTAAATATCCAAGATCAGTTGTTGTTGTTATTGTTACTGTTACTAAAGCATTATTACCCTAGATAAAGCCAAAAGGTTTGCAATATTGTTTGCCTTTCTAATGCCCATGTTGGAAGACCAGGCATAACCAGAGAAAGGTAATGGAATCCATCGCTGGGATTTGGTTGGCGATGGTAGTCACATACTAGGGTCAGAATGGGGGGAATAGGAATCAGGTTAAGAATGAGATCAGTTCTCACAGCTCAACCTCTTCTGTCTGAAGAGGAATCTGGAGAAAAGGTGTGAGTAGATTAATATTTAATTAATCGGGAAGGCCAGACAAAGGAGGGTGGCAAAGAGAAGGGACGCC